CTATTCCAAAATATTTCTATTAATTTTGCTATTTTACAATTATGAGATTACCTTAAAATAGTGATATTTTGCCTCTCCTATTTATTGTTTTCTAATATTGACATCTACCTTTTAGTCTTCCTTTATTTTCATTGGTGTTTTTCTTATTATGTTTATCTTTATACTTTTATGTTTCTGACTTTTAATTTTATTTCATTTTCTACAGCTTTTAGCATCAACGTCTATGTTTGTAATAGACAGATTTAATCCGCTGATAGTGGTTATAAATGCTAATAGTTTTGAGCTCCGGTTTAAATGTTCCCTTGCTGTTTACCTGTATGTCCTATGTTCTCTTCATTGCTTTTCTATACTAATAGGAGATCGATGTATTATAATTTCATTTTTCTCAATTTTTTATTATTGTATGTGACTCATAGCAACTACTTCCATTGTGAGGAAATTTATGTATATATATATTGCATCGTGTGTGTGTGTGTGTGTGTGTGTGTGTGTATGTGTGTGTGTGTGTGTGTGTGTGTGTGTGTGTGTGTGTGCGTACTCAGGACCATGTACTGCAGGCAGGTGCTTGTGCCACTGAGCTATATCCCCAGTCCATATATTGCATCTAGATCCTGCTTTACTTTGCCTTCCCAGCCTCCCACCCCCAGATTTCTTTCCCAACCTTTTAAAGAAGAAACTCTTCAATTCATTGATCCTTTGTATCTTTTTAGTCCTAATTTCATTAATTTCTGCTCTGCTCTGTATAATTTCTTTCCTTCTATAAATCTCAGATTGATATTGTTCCTCTCTTTTTAGGACCTTGATATGCAACATTAAGTTATTTGTTTGTAATTATTCTGCTCTTTTTATGTGTGCAATTACAGCTACCACTTTCCTTCTTAGAACTTGTTTTCTGTAGGTTTTGTTATGCTGTGCTTCCATTGTTGTTTGATTCTACAAACTATTTTATTTTTTCCTTGATTTATTCTGTGATTTGTTGATGGTTAAATAATTTCCATTTTTTTTTGTAGTTCCTGTGGCTCCTTTTCTGTTGATTTCTAGCTTCATTCCACGTGATCCAGTAGTATGCAGGGGATTATTTCAATTCTCTTGTATTTATTTAAACATAATTTATGACCTAAGATATGATCTATTTGGGAAAAAATTCTGCGTGCTGTTGAGAAAAATGTGTATTCTACTGTTGTTCAAAGAAATACTCTGAAGATATCTATTAGGTTCATTTGTTCAACAGTGTATTTTAACTCTGATGCTTCTTTGTTGATCTTTTAAAAACTGGCTGGCCTGCCTAATTGTTAGTGGAGTATTGAAGTGCAAGATTTCAGTACCCCACTATGATTCTATTGGTGTCCATCTATCTTTTTAAATCCTTTTGTTTGTTTTACAAGGCTGGGTGCACCAATATGCTAGGCACCATAGATATTTATAATTGTTACATCTTTTTGTTATATTTGCCCCTTTATCAGTATGCAGTGGGGATCTTGGTCTCTTCTGCTCATTTTGGGCTTGAATTATGGTGTGTCTGAAAACAAGATAGTTATTCCTGCTTGTTTTCAAACTCTGATTGAAAAGAATATCATTTTCTATCTTTTCGTTATCAGTGTATGTACTTCCTTTTGCATGGGGGATGTCTCTTGTACTCCATATTTGATTGCATTTTTTAGTCCAATCTTCAGTCTATGCATTTGACTAGGGAGATGAGAACATTGACATTGAGAGTTATCATTGTACAGTGTTTATTGAATCCTGTCATTGCATTAATTTCCTAGTGCTGATGCCTCTGTGGTTTTTTCTTTTTTAAAAGTCCTCTCCCAGTTTGATGCATAGCACACTTTCCTTTGGACTTCTTGGAGCCATGGCCTCCCTATCCTTGTCTAAGATTCCCTTAAGTATTTTCTGCAATGCTAGGTTAGTGGTAATGTATTTCTTTAGCATCCTTTGTTTTGAAGGCTAATTTTGCAGAATATAAAAGTCTAGACTTGCAGTTTTATTCTTTTAGGACTTGAAAAACTTTAAGCTCTGCTCAGTTGTGAGACATGCTGAGGAATGAGAAGTTACTGTACTCTGATGGGTACAGTAACTTAATAGATTACTTGCTGTTTTTCTCTAACAGCTTTTGATGCTCTCTCTTTTTAGTAAATTTCTGGAATTTTGATTTTGATGTGTCGTGGAGAGATTCTTCTTTGGCTGTGGCTGTTTGGGGATCTATATATATCTTATACTTGAATATTGAATTCTTTTCCTAGATTTGGAAAATTTTCTGTTATGATTTCAGTGAATAAATTTTTTATATTATTTGTACCATCTTTTAATTTTCCCTTTATTCCTACAATTCTGAGGTTTTCTTTTTTTAGTCACCTAGCAGCTGTTGGATTCAGCCTGTACAATGTCTTGTCGTTTTTAGGATATTGCTGAGGTTGTGATCTACGGCATTCACTTTGTTTTCTATTCCTGGCACTCAGCCCTCACATTACTCAAGTCTACCACTGGGGTTTTCATTTACCTCTGCTTGCTTTATTTTCATACTTTCTAATACTTTTCCAAAGTTATCTTTCCTGTCTTGTATTGTATCACTTAATTTAATTAGTTTGCTGTTTGTTTTGCCTTTAAGTTCAACAAACATTTTATTGGTAAAATCCTTTGTCTTTTTAACTAACTTCTCTGAGCTTGTTAGACGTCTTATGCATTTGCTTGTATGTTTCTTCTTTGATCTCTTTAAGCATGTTGACCATTGGTTTTTGAGTCTTTTGCCTTCAACTTCCTCTACTTCAATGTCTGTGAGAAAAGAGAAAAAAATTCATAACCATAAACATATACACATAATTAGAAAATTTGAGCCTTTTAATCAGATCAAACAAACCAAAATAAAGCTTCTTTCTTTACACACTCCTGTCCCTGACACTGGCAACTGCTTCCAGGAAAAAGAAATTGTACATAAACCATACTAGAGCCTGTATATGCACGAGCATATTCTAATGTGCAGTATGTGTGCATGCATACACATGCACACATACACAGCTCTTTTAAAATGTTTAGACAGAAGATGTCCCTGGGTATGAACTACCCGTGCTTATTCGCTTTTCATGTCCGGAGGAGATTCTTCTGTATCGGTTTCTATAGGCCCCTCTCCTTTAAATGACTGCATACTGTTACCCTACATGAACAACTCAACCTATATGTAAGCAGTCTCCTTTCCAGTCTTACCATGAGAGTAGCAAAGAAAATACAAGAGTGAACATGCCAGTATCGCTCCAGTGCTCCTCCACCCTGGGAAGGTGGGCAGGTACTCTCACAGAATCAGAGAATAGGGTCAGGTCAGAGAATAGGGTTCTTAGCCACAGGTCTCAACAGGTAACAGAGGGCTTTGTGTTTGCTGCCATTTCTTTAAGGAACTTACCTAAGCGATGGTGTCTCCTAGTGGGGGAGGGTGGAAGGGAATGTGGTGTTGTGGGCAGCGGTGGAGAAGTTTTGTCTGGGGAAGGTTGGAACTCCATCTTGATGAAATTTGAAACGTTAAGGTTCAGAACTGCAACTTAAACATCCAGGCAGCATTGTCTGAAGCTATTCTGAAGGACAAGGATATTCTACGAACAGAGGTCTGCTTTCACTTAAGTTGATAAAATGACATGTCTCATACTCCTGTCTTAAGTATTTAGAGTAGGAATTCAGATATCATTGTCTTTGGGAAAGTTCAGCTAGTAAAAAAAACCTGTTGAGTATTAAAGAACCAAAGTTTTCCAAGGTAAATCTATCACTGAAGTCTTTATTGTTTATCGATTATTAACACTTCATGATTCAAAGGGTTGCATGAGAGGATCTTAAATATATCCATTCCTATCAAATCTATGTTTTGAATCCATGCATAGCAGGAGTGAGAAACATTCTCTCTAAGGGACCAAATAGTGAATATCTGACATTTCCCAGGCTAAACAGTCTCTGTTACAAATATTCAGCTCTGTCACATAGCAAAAAAGAAGCCATATACAATAGGTGTCCCAGTAGGACTTTAATTATCAACAGTAAAATCTGAATTTTTTTATGTAATTTTCACACGTTACCCAATAGTATCTTTTTCCCCCCATCAACTTAAAAAAAATGCTGTTGGACTATATGAAAACAGGCCAGATTTGTCTTACAGGCCAGAGTTTGATAACCTTTGATTTACTGGATAATAATTCTGATTAAGAAATAAATGCTTCTTTCAGGCAGTTTGTGCAACATGTTACATATTTTCAAGATGATTTTGAAGTTGGCAAATTTCTGTGTTAAGTACAAAAGAATATTAAAGCTTCTTGTGCATTGCAAAGAGTTTCAAGATATCCTACAGTTAGGTTCTTTTTTTTTTTTTTTTTTTTTTTTTTTTTGGTCTTTTTTTGAGACAGGGTCTTGCTAGGCAATTCAGGCTGGCTTTGAGCTCACTTTGTAGCCCAGGCTGGTCTCGAACTCACAATGATCCTCCTGTCTCAGCCTCCCAAGTGCTGGGATTACAGGCATGAGCCACCATGCCCAGCTCACAGGTTCTTAAACATGGCAACAGTTTAATACTGCTCCACAAGTTCACAAAGGAGAGAAGCTCAATAATGATTTGTGGAATAAATTGGTGAAATTTTCTGTATTGTAGAAGAAATCACATTAGAAATGCTGTCTACATGATGGTTTATTTATCACTAAATATTTCTGTAAACCTTTATCAATATGGTTTGCAACAAGTCACAGGATGGAAATGGCAATTTTATACAGAGACAAAAGTAGGGTGGATCGTTAAGGAAGAATTCTAGTTTCTGTTGTTTACAAGATTTAAAAATGAGGTGGCCACGGTGGTGCAGTTGTATAACCTATCACTCTGGAGGGCTGAGGTGAGGCGGGAGGGTACCATGTTCAAGTCCAGCCTGGGTAATTGAGTGACTTAGACCCTATCTCAAAACGATAAAAAAAGGCGGGGGATGTAGCTCGATGTTGGCTGAGTGTGCTGTGGGTGACGCCCTCTCTGTCTGGCTCCCTAGGTTCATCCCTGAGCCCTGGTCAGCCTGCAGCTCCACGTGTGGCCCAGGTGTGCAGGTGCGCGCTGTGAGGTGCCGCGTGCTCCTGGCCTTCGCTCGCACTGAGGCCGAGCTCCCAGAGGACGAGTGCGAGGGCCCCCGGCCACCCACCGAGCGGCCCTGCCTGCGCCAGGCCTGTCCCGGGAGCCCTGAGCCCCGAGAGCCGGACAGCCGAGTCCCCCAGGAGGACAGCACGGGGACCTTCGCCTGGGAATATGCTGGCTTCACCCCCTGCACGGCCACCTGCCTGGGAGGTAGGTGTCCTCCCTGGGAGGTGGGGTCCTGCGCCCCGAGGTCTTGGAGACATGCTAGGTAGGCAGCCTAAGTGATTCAGGATCATCCAGTAACTGAAAACCATGCCTTTTCTTTCTTTTAGGTTTTATAGTTATTATTTTGAGAGGTACAGAAAGGATAATGAGATTACATCTTGACACCCCCTCCCAAGCTCCTTTGGCCCAAGGATCTGCATAACTAAGGTGGGAAGGAGTCGCTGGTTAGTGTGAAATAAATGACCAGAAGCAAAATGGCTAAGATGAGAGATGAGTCTTGTGGATAGAGATGCGGGGAGTCCCCCTAGCTGATGTGCTCTGGATGAGATGTCTTCCCTGTTAAGTGGGAGTTTGGCTGGACCCTGTGTCTGCACCCTGCCAAGGAACCGTGCAGAGCCAGCCGATCACCAGGATTCCTGCTTGTGTATGCATGGTTGACAGGCACAGCCAGGAGCCAGTGAGGACTTGAAAATCATTACACAGTCAGGCGGCCCCCACAGGATGAGAAGTGCGACCTTGGGGCCACTTAAGCATTAGAGGAGCCAAAGGGAATGGGGAGAGGGAGCCAGAGTCCTGGTTCTGTGGAAAGTTAGAGAACATCCACTGGAAAGCTGGATGCCTTGGTCCCCAGCTCTCCTGTCCCCTAAGCCGCATCTGGCTCCTGACTGGTTATATTCCTAGGGGTGGCAGCATGACCTTGTGTCCTGTTAAAGCATAAATGTTCTGTGAAACCAAAGAGATTGGACTTTTTGGCCTTGTACCTCCTGGGAATGCTGCTCAGTACTCAGGTGGGAAGTGTAACCTGACACATGGTCTTGTTTCTGGATCCCATTTTACAGATCTTAACAGAGCTCAGCTTTGAAACTCAGTTCTGTAGCTACAACTATCCTTGGAAGGGTGTAAGTTACTGTGTAATTCTGTAAGAACGTTAAAGTGAAACTTAAATATCCACTAACCCAGATTTCACAGATGAGGAGACAGAAAAGTCATCACTAAGTCCAAAATGAAAACAAGCAACTCAGTTTCATTCTTTAGAGAGGGTTGGTTGAACTATAAGCGAATATTGTTTCTTAATTTTGCAAATATTGTTTTAATTTCTTGGGCTCAAAAAATTTTTTAAATGAATAAATTCAATGAAAATATTCAAGGTTTGAAATAAAAATGCTTTATAGAAGCTAGAGATGGGTCCCCACTCTCTGTTAGACCTCCAGGCTCTTTGCCAAGCTCTGTGCTAAATACCAGATATACCAGAGATATAAAAGGATTAAGAAGTAGCTTTGCTTTGGGATAGTACAGATTCCCATTGCTGTATCTGGGTTTTACTGTCCTCCCACATTGCTTATGAACCATAGCATTTGCCTGTGACCTATTTTATTGTGGTTCTGGGAGCTGATTTATGTGTAGGTTGTGAATGTGGTTTTTTAACCCCCACTCTGGTTCTCTGGAGAGCAGAGAGGGTGAATCTGCCATGTCTAACATATCCAGGAAAGTGACATTTCCACAGGCACATAGGAATTTCCTCAGTATTCATGTTGCTAGGAGACAAGTAAGATATGCGAATTACACTTTATGAAGAGACAAAATGTTGGTTAATCATCATATTCTGTGTATACTTATATTTAGTGGCCTATCTTCATATCATGTAGAAAATAAAAATAAATGTATTTATTGTAACTATTCCTGCTTAAAGACCTTGCAGAAGGCTTCTTTCACATTGGAGTAACAACAGAGAATTCTATTTTAATTCCTGAAAATATGAGGAATCCACACATATTCAAACTCTAGTTTCCAAAGTGTGTGTATGTAAGTATGTATACGTGTGTGTGTGTGTGTGTGTGTGTGTGTGTGTGTGTGTGTGTATGCTTTTTGAGTACCCGCTAGTAATGTTTGGTAATTACAGCATAAGCATTCCTTACCAGAGATGCTTTTGTACTTTGTACTGCTTGTTGTTATTACATTTTCCTTTCTTATCCCATACTTCCTAACAGCACAGTTTGGTGGTAGATGCATGGACTTATAAGGCCTAAGCCTATTCTAAACCCCTGCTCTGCTACTCTCTGTGGACTGTGTTGTTTAAATTTATAGGTGGGTGGTTTATATTTGTTAATAAGAGGACCCCGTCTACCTCATTGTCACCAAAGGGCTAAGGGTTCTTTTGTTTGATTTACATAGAAATCACAAATAGGCAAACTGTAGCTCATTTAGTAATAACCCTGAACTTTGGGTGCTGTGAGCTCTCAGCTGTTAGTGTAGCAGCCCTCTGTCTGGGCAGCTGGAGCCAGCACCTATGGGCAGCCAGAGGTGGCAGCTCCCAGAGATTTCCTGTTGCTTTCTGACCTTAGTGTTAGCAACTCTAGCTGTGGGCTGCTTTAAGTGCCAACAGGCTTTAGTGTTACCAGTTCTTAATGTACCAGCTTACATACTCTACTCAAGATGGGATTGAGTCAACTAATGGTAGGGGAGGTTGCTTATAAGAGAAGCTCACACATTGTGTGTCAGACTTAGTCAAGGCGAGTGTGGAAGGATCATATACAGACCTGTCTGAGGACAGCTGCAAAGGAGTGGAGCGATCCAGAGAGGCTGTGGGCCTGGAGTCAACTGAATGGATCTGTGACCAAATCTTGCTGCTTCCAAAGCCAGTGTCTCCCAAAGGGGCTGTGTGGCATTTGGTGTGGCCCTAGTCAGCTGTGATACCAGATGCAGGTGTCAGGCGCAGCAGCAGAAAAACAAAAAGAAAAGAACTACTTGGGGAGCACTGGGCACTTTTCTCCTGTCTTGTTACTAAGATTAAGAACTGAGTATGATTAATAAATAAGTTGATGTTGGAAAAGCATTTAATCCCAGTACCTGGTATATGATACATAATAAATGCTAGTGGGATTATTATAATACAATAGTAGTATGATACAATAGTCATAATACATTTTTCATATTGCAATGCTGTTTATTTTTTCTTTTTAAAAGGTCTACTAAGTTACTAAACTCATTGTTCTAATAGTTTCCCCACTCCTTTAAATGAATTATCTGAGTAAATAGTCATCTATAATGAATTAAGATTTTCTCTTTCCCTTTCCAATAGCTATTTACATTTTGTGTATTACTGCTTTGCATAGGACTAAAGGAACAGTGGTTCCTAGTATGATAATGCTAGCATTGTCCTGCTCCTAGTAGTAGCAAAAATCTACTGTTTCACTTAGACACATTGTTCTACAAACTTTTATTGCACCTTTGTGTGCCTCAAGTACTGACCTAGGTAATAGCATGAGTCACTTGTAGCTCTTAGCTTTGGAACTCAACTGTAATGGAGGCAATTTATTAGTCAAACACATACACACACACACATGCACAAACGTGCACACACATGTGTATTTGCAAACGGTTGGAGCAAATGCAAAAGACATGTAAGATGCTATTAAAACTTATATAGAGGGCGCTTGTCACAATTGGTGAAATAAGCGCTAGTATCTCTAAAAAAATTTGAATTTAATTTTGAGAAATGAAAAATTAGTTAAGCAGAAGAGGGTTTGGAGGAGATGGAAAGAGATTTTCTAGCAGAAAGAGCTTGTGCAAAGGTCCTGGGTGACAAGAGATTGTGTTACACATTCCAGCAACTGGAGGAGACAGGCATAGTTGAAGAACTGTGAATGTGACCAGGTTCGGTATGGGATGAGCCACACTGGGAAGCTGCACAAGAAGAAGCCAGGACCAGGAAGTTGAGGCCATGTAGATTTGTGTCTTTATCCAGTGTAAGGCTCGATTCAGACATGACTCTCCCAGTGCTCAACTTGTGTGCTAGCAGAAGCGTTGTTCTCAGCTCAGGACCAAGGGCTGCCCTCGGCAAACACAAGATGTTTTTAATGATGGAAAGAAAATGATAAGATGGAAAATAGATGCTTGCAAGACATCGAAAGACACCTAAATATTCACCCTGGACGCCCCCAGGACTTGGCCCAATGAGACTCAAAACACCCAGAGAAATCACTATTGATGTTTACTAAGATCTCCCTGCCTAATGTCGCTTGCTGTCTCTCAAACCTTTTTTAAAAACCTGCTTCTCTTCATTTCCTACAGATGGCCTTTTCACCCTCTGTCTGTCTGCAGCTCTTCACAATAAATTCCACGCCGTGTTGCTTTTACACATGTTCGGTGGTCTCAGCTGCTCTCTGACTCACAGTGTTCCTCACATCCAAGGGCTAATAGTAAATAATTCCAGTCATCAAAGAGAGGATCACATTACAATTTTTGTTTATTTGAAGACTGTTGGCTGTATCACAGGGGTAAGAAGTGAGATTCATAGGAAGGTGTTGCGACTCTGGGAAGGAGCTTGAATCAAAGTGGGGGAGTGGTGGAAAGGATAGCACATGGCATGGAGGGATATTGAGGAGGCAGAAGCAGCTGTGGTGAGTGGGCAACCAGAGTGAGGTGGCTACTGAGCCCTGCCCCCAAGTCTAGGCTGCTTCTTTGAGGTGCTGAGTGATAGAAGCCTGGGATGGTGAGGGAAATAATCAGTTTAGTTGTGGAGACAGTGGTTTTAAAGTGCCTTCAGACATCCAAGTGGAGATGTTCTGTATGCACTGGGAGTAGTGAACCTAAGGAAGCGGAGAGCCTGGAGCAGGAAATGTGCGATCATGAGCCTTCTGGGTATGGTGACATAGCAATTGGGGGTGTGGCTGGGCATTTTTGAGTCTAGAATAGCTGGGAGGAGTGGGGAGAGCCTAAGTCCTGATGAAATGCCACACAATCGTTGGATAGAAGAGATGGAAAGCAAGACAGGAGGAAACAAGGTGTGGTACGGTGGAAACCGAGGCCGGCCATGCTGTGTGCCACACAAAGGGCAGAGGACTCAGCATGGACACTGGGTTCAGTCATGCAGTGTCATTAGTGACCAGGGTCATTTCAGTGGAGAAGCCGAGTTGGAGGTCAGATTTGAAAGAGTTGAGGAAAGACTGATGGAGGTCATATGTAGATGAGTAGGATAGATTTTT